CAGTTTTTTGTGGACCAGTTTTGAGGCACTTAACATGTTTAGAATGGTTTGCTTTTTACAAATGTTACTCATTTCCGTGTAGATAATCTTCTACATAAGAATGAGATTGATACATCGATCCTATACCTCATAAACCGGACAGTAAGTTGAAAACTGTGTAAGAGTCTGCAATTTGTCTTTACTTACGAAAGTCAAAACTAAATAGGCCATTTTGTAGAGAATTAAATTCTACATCGAATGATGTCTCTCAATATTTTTTCAAAAATGTTTTTGGTTAAAAAATTCAAAATATGATTTTTCACAAGTTTAAAGCACGGTTTTTTATTCTAAAACCTAACTTTTTTACAAAATAAATGTCAAATTTGTAATCAGCGTTAAAAACTGCATCTAGTAACTCATTCAGATTTGTCCAACTCGGAAAAATGTTTTTTCGAAACTTGATCAGCGAAGCGTCGCGTTACGTGGACAAGCCGGAATACATAGCAGAGTGAGAAACATGAAAGAAAAAAGAAGGAATAAACGGATAGAAGCTCGTAAAAATGCTGTGATTCGAGTGTATCTTGTTGTTGGTGATACTTAAATAAGTAGTGTCCTTCAATGCTCCTGGAATGATTTAATCTGGTGGCTTTTTTAGTCTTTTAAGTATGTTTGCTATTCTGTACGCTTGAGTCTGTCCACTGTCCATAACTTTATTAGATCAACCCGAAGCTCAGATATGTCAAGGTGCCTCTCAATATGATCCATGTTCATCGAACGACGCATGTAGCTGTCTTCCTCTGATGAATACTGGCAACGGTGGTATCTGCGCTTACCTTTATGTCAGATGTTCTGAATTGGTCTCATGTGCTAATAATAATCGAACATGCTTTCGACCTGGTCATCTATGTGTGAATCACCCACGATGTCAAAGTGCTCCATTGTGTTATCCAGCGGACATGGCGCTTCAAGTTCTGTGTCCACCGATCTCACCTATGGCAATGAGTAAGAAATGAAAATGACGAACTTCGAATGTCTATCCTCGGAGTATAGAAGTAAGGGGTGTCTATTCTTCTTCTTCTTACGCACACATACAAGTCACGTATGTATGCACGTGCTAACGCGAGGATCTTTCCAAGTGTTACCCTCCGATTTTAATGAATTTTACTCTATAGATACTGCATAGTGCCATAGTAAGAATTCTAAAAGGATTTGGGTTCCTAGGACTTCCTTAAAAACGTTATGAACAGTTTAATTTTGCTTCTATAGTACTTTTGAGTGAACCATGAGATCATCTACCAACTCTATCAGAAGCCAGCCGTCATTACAATTAATTTTCGATTTAGGTATCTCAAATAATAGATCATTATTCGAAATTTCTAAATTAAATAATTATTAGCTCTTTCTGACTTGCCGGTGAAAAATGTCCAACTCTACAAGTGATAAACATCTCGACACTTGATGAAAACATCGAGATTTTTAGGTGCTGTTAGTATTTTACTTTTTTTGCTGCGTTTACTCACTGCTTTGAGTTTGTAGACATCTTAAAAGATGTGGAAATGTTTTTTATGCAATATTGGGTAACTGACTTAGTTATACATTATCATGTTAACAAGAGAAAGTGTCTACAAAAACATACATTGAGATATGCTTTATGTATCTGTAATCAATAGGATATTTTTAACTTGATTAACTTAACATTCAATCAAATAATATTAATATAGTCACTTTTTCTTGCTGATTACGAATCTGAAGTTATACTTTTGATAAATATGGGTGTCAATTATGTATTGCCTTGATTATTGTTCTGGATACATAGAGATGACCATCAACTGCTAGAGCTTGTGGCATGACCCAACTATTTTTTACTGGTGAATTAGTCTATTGAGGCAATACCTTATACGATGCAGGATTTCAAGGACTTTTAGGAAATACGTAAATTATTTTGGGATAGAATAATCCGACGTGACTGGAGTCAAAATATTAAGAAACTTGATTTTAGCCAAGCGTAATTTTTGTCCGTATCTTGGGATTATCACTTGATAAATGATATTATATAACTAAATCAGTTCCCTAACTTTGCAGAGAAAACATTTCTACATCTTTTAAGAAATCTTGAAACTCAAAGCAATGAGCGAACGCAGGAACAATGTAAAATACTAACAGCATCTAAAAATCTCGATGTTTCCATCAAGTGCCGAGAGGTTTATCACTTGTAGACTTTGACATTTTTCACAGGCAAATCAGAAACAACTGATACTTTGGATTTCGAGATTTCGAATAATAGTCTATCATTTGAGATACCTAAATCGAAAACTAATTGTAAAAGTGGCTGGCCTCTGATAAAGCTGATAAATGGTCTCGCGACCCACTCAAAAGTACTATAGAAGCAAAATTAAAACGTTCATAACTTTTTCCGGAAGCCCTAGGAACCCACATCCTTTTAAAATTTTTACTATAGCACTATGTAGTATCTATAGAGAAAAATTCATTAGAATCGAAGGGTAACACCTGGAGAGGTTCCCTAATAGGTGCTTTTCGAGTATGATCCCTTGTGTATAGCTAAATATCAAGTTCTGACGGCATATCACAAGGACGTATTGTGCAGCAATGATGGTCTTCGAAGACTCAGGAAACAACTAAATAAAAAATAGCTTTGAACGGTTAGAAACATCGTAAATTATTAGACTATATGTAGCTGTCAGGTCCTATCGGATTGTAGGACATTAGTTGCAGGCAAGATGCTCAAACAGAGCTCGAAAATGTATGGCCTACTTGGGGATTACACTGTTCTCGAACGATTTGTTGTCGATGCTGGGGTAGGAAAAGGTGACTCGACGATGTGGAGTGGGCGGATGAGCCATCAATGGTCGTTTACGTAAGCCGTCAGTCAGTAGGCGGTCGAGGTTTCTTTTTGTTGTCAAAGAATGAGTCACCAGAAAGTACGTAGTTAGGTGATCACTTAAGATCAAGCCTTAGTTGAATCATAAGACTTTCATCGATTATTGTTCCATTACGAATAGATTGTAATAAAAGAAAGTAATCAAAATAGCCGGTTTTTGAGTGAGTATCTTGATTATTTTTTATGCTATTGACATAATAATTGATTAAAAGTGTGTAACTATAACTATTTAACAATTTTATGATAATCTACCTTAGTTATTGACTCCTAATTGATTCTGATAGAATATATTTAATATCTGATAAACGTCAACATATTTGGGCTGATTACTCACCTGTTATAATAAGGACGGAACATGCATTTCTATTATTTGAGGTGTTTTCGACTAATTTGGAGCGATCGTTGTGATTTTAAGAGATTTACAAGGAGAATAAGTTTATTTAACTCACGTCAAAATCATCAAAAACCTTTGCCTATAACTCAGAGTCGTCGGATCAACGAAAACCAATCATAATCATGTAAGGGGACTCCTTTCCCCTTCTGGACTCAAATTTTTCATTTTTTCGTTTTTCGTTTGTTCTAATCAGTATATAGTCTGCATTATATACGAGAAGAGCACATAATGCTACTTTGTTTTGCGTTTTCTTCGAAATCAACTTTTGAGAAAAAAATCGAAGTTGTCCCGTTCTTCTCACATACAGTACGACCGACCGAACGGACGATTTTTCTTTAGCAACTAGAACTAAATCTGAGTGTCAATTTTTATTCTTTCTTCAAAAATATGCATGCGGTGAATTTTGTCAGGTTGTTCAAGCCATCCAATTTTTTTCCACGAAAAAAAATAATAGGTATCCCGATCTGACTGTAGTTGTCATAGCAAAATTTTTACCAAAAGCAGATGAATTTTAGAATAATAGTGGGAGAAAACTTCAGATCATTTTTAGTCATTGCGTCTTCTTTATCTCATAGGAGAGAGAATTATGTAAGATCGAGTCTAGCGCAAAATTTACTCTACTACCCAAGATTCATCTACACTGAACCGTTCAGAATTTTTCATAAAGTCGTTATCGAGAAAACCCGGAAAGACGGAAGGGTTATCCCCTTAAAGTAAAAATCTTCAACAAAAATCACTGTATATTTCTCGTACAGCTCGAAGGATACTGGTTCATTTTCACTAATTGTCATGACTTATATGCTTGAGGTTGATTAAGGGTAATTTAAATCAGCTTCTTTTTTTTAGTACCATTGTCATTGTTAATCGAAATAATCGTTCAAACAGCGATAGCGTAGATCTTTTTCTTTTATTACAGTCGATTCGTAAGCGATTACAGTTCTATGACTTTAATCTATTAAAAAAATATTTACATAAATAGAAGAAAATGGATCCCTAAGAAAACAATGCCTAATTTGTAGGATAACCTTAGCATTATTTAATTAGAGACTAGCGACATCACACCACTGAAAATATCATATCGTGGGGCTATATCCGGACTTGACAAAGCTAGGTCTGGGCTTTAGACACGATGGGATACGGTCTGTATCCTTTAATTGCGATAAACCATCGTATTCCTTAGTCAGAAACGGTACCGAAAAAGAACAAGCACATCTACACACCGTTTCAGACTACAGAAATTGGCTGGAAACATACAGAGAACTGACACGAGAACTGCTTCTGGATCTGGTCCCCGGACTTCGTCGGAAATTATACACATCCGATCGTTTCCCTCTGTATCTCCTTTATCTGAGGAGATCCACTAGAGAAACTATAAGCAATACTTAACAGTGTATCGGTTCTTGTGAATAATGTAACAAGCAGAAAATACAAACCCAATTGACGTGCTATCCATGTATAAGATTCTTGTTCAAAAGAGCGAAGCCGACTTTCGTCCGTTTCATGAACAAATATCTGCACATGATTAGACGATCTTGAGATTTCCACAATAAACATTCCTCCAGAAGGAAACCATTCAAATTTTTCCATCTAGAATGGTCTAAAACTGGTGGTATGAATCATGCACGACGAGCACATACAGCATCCATATTAATAAATGGAAAAGTATTAGTTGCTGGAGGATTTGATCATGGTGCTCTAAGTAATGCTGAATTGTATGATCTCTCAACAGAAACTTGGACAAATATTGCTGGCATGAATGAAGCACGGGGTGAACACACAATATCCATACTAACGAATGGGAAAGTGTTAGCTACTGGTGGACTTAATAATAATGGTTTTCTGAATAGTAGTGAGCTATATGATCCGTCAACAGAGACTTGGATAACTACTGGTAGCATGAATAATGCACGAGGTGAACACATAACTTCCGTATTAACAAATGGAAATGTGTTAGTTACTGGTGGATATGGTGATAGTCATTGGTTGAATAGTGCTGAGTTATATGATGTATCAACAGAGACTTGGACAACTACTGGTAGTATGAATAATGCACGAAGCGAGCATACATCATCGGTGTTAACAAATGGAAAAGTGTTAGTTACCGGTGGACATGTTAGTCGTGATTCTCTCGCTAGTGCTGAATTGTATGATCGGTCAACAGAGACTTGGACAACTACTGGTAGCATGAATAATGCACGGAGCGAACATACAGCATCCGTATTAATGAATGGAAAAGTATTAGTTACTGGTGGATCGAATTACAATGATAATCTAAATAGTGCTGAGTTGTATGATCCATCAACAGAAACGTGGACAATTACTAGTAGTATGAATCATGTGCGATGGAAACACACAGCATCCGTTTTAACAGATGGAAAAGTGTTAGTTACTGGTGGATTTGATCAAAATGCTCTAAATAGTGCTGAATTGTATGATCCATCAACAGAAATGTGGACAACTATCGGTAGCATGAATGGTGCACGAGGTGAGCACACAGCATCCGTATTAACGAATGGAAAAGTATTAGTTACTGGTGGGTCATATATTGGTGTGGCTTTGAGCAGTACAGAACTACACAAATCGATTGCACTAGGTGTTGGACACCGTTAGAACAAAAACATTTTTTTCAGATTCGACTTTCAAGCCAAATCAGTTGATTTTTCCCATTGAACATTCGCTTCACTGCTTCAAAAGAAAAGATAGAAAGAGACAAAGGGTGTGGGTGTGAATGTGGATTTGTGTTCTCTCTACCCACACTACATCCCAGACTCACATCAACGCCCATCCACCCATCCAAACCCTACTCTGTAAAAAGATCGACTTTATACCGAACCTTTTTTTAGGTGCCGTAGTGGCTACGAAACCTATAATAGTTCTTTCCGTGGATACACGCGCGAAATCTTTTCTATAAAAACTTTTTTGAGATCTGCGGCACGAAAAACGGTTTGGTATGAAAAATACGAAGCCATGCCGGTTTGATACGAAACTTTCTAGGTGTCGCTTTATACTCAAAAAGATTCGTATCAAGCCGGCGTGGTTTCGTATTTTGTATACCAAACCAATTTTCGTGCCACGAACCTCAAAAAGATTTTTGTAGTAAAGGTTTCGCGCGTGTATCCGCGGGAAGAACTATTATAGGTTTCGTAGCCACTACAAGGCCTCAAAAGGGTTCGGTATAAAACCGATTCTTTTAGAATGTAATTCAAATAAGATTTTTCTGTAAAAGTGATGCATTTAAAAAAGATTCGACTAAAAATATAATTCGATGAATTTGAAATCAAATGTAGAACCCTGATGAGTGCTTATTTTCAAATAAATAATGGGAAATGCGTCTGAGAAATTGACTCTACGTTTATTTTTGATCAAGCACTCTATTCAAACTTCAAATTACTGCAGCAAAGATTGCTTGTTGAAAAGCAAGATTTGGGGCTGCAGATTGAGCTTGTCTTTTCACGAAACGATAGGCCAGTCTGCTTTTCGAGTTTGTGGAATTCGTATATATTTGAAAAGGAAATAGTGAGTGTCAGTTTTAAGGTCAAGTTTTCGCGGCTCCCTCTCCCCCTCCCCCTTACAGACCTTAGCAATTTGTAAAATTGATCCAGTAATAATTTTGAAAAATGATGAATATCATTATTTGTAAGTTGATTAATATATATGATAGTGTGTAAGATCTGTTGTAGATAGCATGAATACGTAAAATAAACTCATTTGCCAATTAGTTCAATGATTATAATAATAAGAATGTTAAATTGAGAAAAACGAATTAAAACAAATAAAAATAATGAGTGAATAGCAACAATGAAAACAAAAAAAAAAAGGACGCCCATAGAAAAGAATTAAAAAAGTTCTCTTCGAAATGTAGAAATCAGAGAGGTTCTTATTTCAGTGATTGATTATCCTGCAAAACAATTATAGTCTACGAGAAATTTTTCACTTCACGCTATTTCTATTAGTTTATTGAGGCTAGAGAGTATATGTGAGTTCCACATTTCAACCCTAAAGGGGCTGCGCTAACAAGCTTTTTTTATGCATCTTAAATATTTGTTGCGGTGTAAGAGCTATTTCCAATTACAGCCATTTCCTTCATAATCTTGAAATCGGAGCCTACACCAACCGCGACAAAATGAAAAGTAATTTTTGGATAGCGGGAACGAAACTCTTTCCAAGATTCAAAAGTAAAAGGCGTAACGTCTCCGCCACAGATAATGGCGATGTTTTCTACGGATGTAAACGTATTAATCGCATCCGTAACTGCAGTTTTCATATCATTACCACCTCTAGCTCGCAGACCCGTAATCCAATTTTTAACGACTCCATCATCTGATAAGCAAAGCCAGGATTTTGTGCAAAAGTAAGATTCGGTATCGCAAACAGTGAAAGCGATTTTTGACTTTAATCCATCTTTTTTAGAAGTTTCCCAAAAAGCTGCGTAAGTACGTCGAAGTTTTGCAATGTTATCATTGATTGACATCGAACCAGAACAATCTCCTAAAATTGCAACCGAACCGGTACATTAAATTTCATTAAAAATTAGGTTCGAAGCTTGATTTACAGTTAGACTTCTTGGCCTTCTTTCATTCATTTCTTCTTTCTTATTAACAGGATCTGGAGAATTAACAGAGGATTCTTGCATGAGCTTCACTTCGTTTCCATCCACTACTTTTTTAGCTTCAATATGTAAATATCCTTCAGGACAAACTAATGAAACAGTTCCTGTTCCAGAGGTTTTCGTTGAAAATTTAATAATCCTTGAACCATCTTTTAGCGTGAATGTGCCGTTGATATCTGATCCTGAGAGCGGTCTATCCTGGTAAAAGAAATAAATTTCCACTGCAACGACTTCCAAATCTATGAAACTTGGAGTAATCATATCCTTGATTTTGTGTATAGTGAAAGAAAGTAAGTCGAAAAGTTCTGTTCCAAAAAGTAACTTCACGTCTGTAGTGTATTTTCCGTCTTCTTTTACAGAGAAATCGATTTGAGATTGAGAAGTTGCATTGAATCTCTTTCCGGATGTAGCATGATTGAAAGTAAATGATACTTGTTTTGATATCGGATTTACAAACAGTGCAATAGTGGAATCTAGAAAAAAATAAGTGCTCCATAAAACTCGAAAGATTTTGCATTTTTTGTGCAGAATGATTTTAGTTTCAGTAATATTTAAATTATTTCGTATCTTTTATATAGAAAATTTTTAATTTCAGCAGAATTCAGAAAGTTTGGCAGGTATGATATAAAACATTCTCCAAGTTTCTTAAATTCAGTGGTGGTTTCGTTAGTCAACCACTGGATCATCGAGGCTTTCATACAATTTGGGAAAATTTCGCAATATGTTGGCAAAACCATTCATAGTTTTGTGATCCAGATACAGGTTTTCTGTTTTTTATTCACATCCTTAAATAGTTCACTAGGGTATGTACGGATTTAGTATTTTTTGTACACAATTTTTACATTTTCCATACGAAATCTTGTCAAGTTTCGTCAAACGTGAAAAAGTTTTGTCTTCTTCGTGAAAAACCATATTTGGTTTTGTGCGCTATCGAAGATTTTCTATCTCTCTTTCGAGCACACGGATGACTTATCATTACCTTCTCTACTTAGTTTACTCAAACATCTTTATCAGTTCAGTCCTATAAACAAGTGGCAGAGGTTCTCGCTAGAAATTGTGAAAATGTGGGAAAAGAATCCTAAACAAATGTATGCATCTACTTATTTTTGCGGATCGTGTCTGCACCGAAAAGGCTAACTCTCAGGAATCTAGATGATGAGAAATGTGCAAAATTTATTTAGCAAACTCAAAATAATTAAAATAATACCTAGCTTTAAAGATCGCATGCTTAACAAGCAAAATCATGTAAAATTATATATTGCAAAGGACATATAAGACTCTCGTGTCTGTCGAGAATTTCAAGCTGAATCATAGTATCGTCAAGAGAGTTATCCTGCATATAAACAGTTAGATCATGTGGTGGATGTGGAGTATGGGGAAAGAGGAGATCCTTCCCACCTACATCTATTCGCATGTGGACTTGCTTGTAAATGAGGAAGGTTTTATTGTTCATCTCGACCCGAAAATGAGAATGCCCCATTGCAAATGTATGCTAAAATCGTTTAGAATGATTTGTGATCACTGATGGATTGCTGCAATTTAGTATGCCACTAACGATTAACATATTTTTGCAATATTATATCTCACTGTGAAACTCAGAACTGTGATTTTTAGGAAAATCGAACCAATATATTTCCATTCCAGCAAAAAAAATTGGCATCATAAATTGCAGAATGTATCAAAAGTATCAACAAAAACAAATATATTCTGTTCGATATATGAAATATTCGAAAAACGTCGAACTTTGCAAAAAGTTTGACAAAGACAAAATTATTGTAAACATCATATTAATTAGATATACGTGTATGTAATTGTCATCTCGGTACGCCCAACATCCACAGTATTTTATTTGACAAGAAAATATCGAAATATTAGCATCATTACTTGTGTCAGCTGTCCATTTGAGATTAAACTTGTATTGTACGATGAGAAACAAGATAATCATTGCCAAATAACACTCATAAAAGCCACTGATTATCATGCATATTATGGCTGGAATTGAACAGACGCCGAAAATAGCAAGCCAATACATATTAATGTTCTGTGTTTTTAACGTTTACGCCGATTGGTGAGGGTGACATGCCATGCGATAGTACTGAAGAATAAGGAGAGTCAATGCACACAATCCCGTCTGGTCGGTCGAGGTACCTGTATTTGATGATAAATGCAAGAAAGATGTATGTGATAACGAGGCACAAATTAAATATCGATTCCTCACATTCTTTGTGTAAGACAATCACACAATTATAAGATTTTCATGGATTTAGAGAGGCTAATTTGTTTTTGTAAAACTCGATGAACCGATGCTGTGAAAATTTGAGTTCGGTGAGTTGCTCCTAGGCGTATTATTTGGATCGGGATATAGTTGTTAGGATCGAATGACGATTTCTTCATCTGTTGTTCGGCTATTCTTAAGTATACGGCTTCGAGAAAATTATCGACATATCATTTCATAATTCAAGTTTTTGATCGAGTACCTGAACAGTGATCGATTTTCTCATTTCACTTCATCTCCACTGCGTTCTAGTCATCCTCTTCTCCATAGCATCTGCGGACTTCCTGACTATAAATTATAAGAGTCATAAAGCAGCCTATATTTCAATGGCAGTACAGGATCGTTTCATCTCACCTAAAACACTTTTTAGCTCTTAGATCAGAGACATGTATGAAAGCATATGATTGCGAGACTCATCGTCGAAATTATAGAGGAACTTTATCAGAACTAATTCAATTACACAACTCAATTGGAGAACTACTAATACGTGGAAGATCGTGTGAAACCTGCATTTGGCTCCGCGGTACGATCATCGGCTATCCTAATTTACCGCTACTTTTACAAAGCAGGTAGCACAATCGATATACAGCGAAACAACGAAATCATTCGAACATCAATGTAACTCGCTACTGTTTGAGTTTCTGATCAATACGAATTCTGTCTAATCTGAATAGATTTTCTATGTTTTTGATACGTATCAAAGTAATATTATATCATTGTAATATC